TGCCGAGGACCAGCTTCAAGATCAGGACAGTCCAGTCAGACCGTCAGCAGGTGTGAGCGCCTCACATCTGCTGAGACAGCTGGACTGCGATAAGATAACGAGAATCGAGGGTGAGTTTACTGTCAAAACCAAAAACATAACACAACCACTCTTCTTACATTATATCATTTTATTTTATTGTATATGTATAAAGGAAAGTGTGTTTTAAATTATGCAGATGTAACCACTGTAACATTTCTTCTCATTTCTTTCTCATAATTTTAATTTTTGAAACAAGACGAATATTCCATATATTTCTCAAATAATTTGAAGTCGTTGAAATTAATATATAATTAATTCATTATAAAATAAATATGGTATGCCACACTGCAGTACACTGATTTTAAAAATGAATAATTATTATGTTTTATTAGACCTCATTTGCTGGAAATATTTCATCGGCAAGAAGTTGGGGGAAGGAGGATGCGGCTCCGTCTTTGAAGGGACCCGCTGTGAAGATGGCCTTCAGGTAGCTGTGAAGTTCACAGTGAAGACGGAGAATGAGCCGTACATAAGCCTTGTAAGTAGACATCAGAATTCTCTCAGTCACTGTTTGCAATTTATAACTTCTTAGATTAATCACAAAGTACATATATTTTAATAGATAAACAGGCTGGGCTAAATCCTTATTTGAGAAACCAGTTCCATCTGACGTCATAAAAACTAATCTTTTTTCTAGCCTGACCATCCCAGACCAGTTCCTCTTGAGGTGGTCCTAACAGTCATGGCCAATCAAGGCCCCAGCTGTCCCCGCATCATAAAGCTACTGGACTGGCAGGACCATCCCGACCAGTACATCATGTTCCTAGAGCGCCCCTCACCCTGCATGGGCATGCACCATTTTTGGCTGCATTACGACGCCCACTTCAGTGAGGAGATGGCACGTCATTTCATGCGGCAGGTGACCGACGCTGCTGCTGTTTGCTGTTTCCGGAGGGTCTTCCATCGGGACATCAAAATGCCAAACCTCCTGGTCAACATAGAGACCCTGGAGGTCAAACTGATCGATTTTGGCTGCGGAGACCTCCTGAAAAACACATCCTACAACACCTATTGTGGTATGTATTATCTCTCAAACAAGTAGTTTGGGACTTAAACTCAAATTAGCAGTTACACCATGTTTAGATGGGACTAATAACTAAGAACATTCTCAGAAGAAGAAAACCCAGTCATAATATTATAATTTTTGACTAAAATTAAGTTCCAGTGGTAGAGCAGACTTTCATACGTGACACACTTTTTCCTGCAGGGACAGCAAGGTACTGCCCTCCGGAGTACATTGAGAAGGGCTAGTACCACGGGAAGCAGGCAACAGTGTGGTCGCTAGGGGTGCTGCTGTTTCAGATGATCACTAGCCTTTTCCCAGACAGCAGCAATATTAGTTTGATGGACGCTGATGCCTGGTTACAGCCAGGCTTCTCTGATGGTAAGAACTTCATTACAACAAAAGAAGGACAAATGCAAAACAGAGAACAGAGAAACAGTGGCTTTAAATAAGAAGTTCTTATGGATAATGCAGGAGTCTCTCCAAGTTTTGCAGCTTAGAGAGCAAGTGTAAAGTTGAAGGTAATAATCAGACTGCTCTCCATCTTTCTGCACAGAATGCTGCCGTTTAATTCGAGGTTGCCTAAAGAGTGACCCAGAGCAGAGGTTTCACCTGGAGGAGATGCTCTTCCATGACTGGTTTAAATTAGTCCCTCCATGCCTCCAGTCTTAGCGTCTTGTGGGGCTGGCAGGCCTTGGTTGCATCTGGCATCTTGGCTTGAGGCGGTAGTTTTAGCGTCTTGTGGAACTACTCGTCTAGGGATGTGTATTGTAAATACTTTAATTTAAGTTAGTTAAGTTAGCCCCTTCATCCCTCCAGCCTTAGCATCTTGCGGGGCTGGCAGGCTTTGTGTGCATCTGGTGCCTTGGTTTGAGGCGGTAGTTTTAGCGCCTTGCGGAAGTACTCACCTACTGTAGGGATGTGTATCATTAATGGTTAGTCTAGTTTTAGATTGTTAAGATAATCCTTCCATCCTTCTAGCCTTAGCGTCTTGTGGGGCTGGCAGGCCTTGGTTGCATCTGGCGCCTTGGTTTGAGGTGGTGGTTTTAGCGTCTTGCAGAACTACTCATCTAGGGATGAGTATAGTAAATAGTTAAGAGTTTTAGTTAAGTTAGTTAAGCAATGTACTATCCAGTCATATTATTAATAATGGAGTAACCCAGAGCTCCTCAGAGCTGTCTGTCAAGCCCGCCCAACAAGTTCCTCTCACTGCTGCCCCAGAGGTCTCTGCCACTGGCGCCCGGATCCCAGAGATCTGTGTCACGGATGCATCAGAGGTTTCAGTCATGGCCACAAAGCTTCTTTTCTCAGTTGCTTTGGGTCCAGAAATCCTGTCAGGGTCACTCCAGAAATAACCATAAAGGTTTCTGTTACTGCTGTTCCAAGAGGTCCTTCACACTGCTGCTCAAAAGTTTCCTGCCAGGGGCAACTGGGTCCCAAAGATCTTTCAGTGCTGCTCCAGAAGTCATTGTGAGTAATTGCCGCCTAAAGTTTCCTGACGCTGCTGCTCCAGAATGGCTGAGATCAGAGTCACAGGCACCACAGAGTTTACGCGACAGGGTACCCGTTCAGATATACCCTGGCCCCAGAGCTTCTTGTCTTGGCCTTGAAGGATCTGATGCTGCAACCCCGGAACCCAATATGGTTCCACAGCTCTGTGTTGTGGCAGCGGCAGTTATACAGCTTCCCAGAGGTTCCTGACATGACTAACCGGGTCACACTGATGCCACCATGTCCACCACAAAGGTTCCTCTCATAGTGGTGCACAGATTCATGCAGCCAGAGAAGTTCCAGCAAGGAACAAGACAAGACAGACAAGGCTGCCCCAGGTTATCCTGCCGAAGCCTCAGCCAGAGCTGGTGTCGAAGCTGCTCCAGTCCAGTCCCAGAGCTCATCTCTCAACCGCACTGGTCCCAGATGTTTCTACTAAAGCCACTCTGGTCCAAGAGGAATCTGTCACAGCTGCATTACAGAATCCTCTCATGCCCCAATTGTTTCCTATTACTGGTGTGATTCCTCCATAAATTTATCACACCTGTATACCACATTAAAAATACACGGTGATAGTGAAAATATACAAAATGCCATGAAGGGCAAAATTAGCTATTTAGACCAAAACCACTTTTTGTACCAGGCTGTAAACATTTTTTTTTCTAATGTAAAGTTGGGCATTTTAACATGGGGGTCTATGGGATTGACTTCCTTTTGGAGCCTGTCTCTAGTGGCCAGTCAACGAATTGCAGTTTCAGTCATGTGTTGGATTCAAATGAGAGACTGGAAGGTTGCTGCTTGGTTGTTTAAACATGGAAAAATATGATCTGGAAATATTAACCATTACTATTTTGCTTCAGTTCTAGAGAGGTTAACCCTCTCAATTTACTAATGTTAATTTGAAAAATAATCTCACCAGGTAAGTAATAACAGGTAAGTAACATCTAAAAAATGAGCTACTCTATGTGGCCCTTTACTTGCTATTTGAAGCCCACAGGAGTATGGCAAACCATTTTAGGATTTCATACACCTGGCTCTACTAGCAATTTAGAGATATCCAGATAATCTTTTCTGCATTTTTGGCTTGTCGTAATTGGCATCAAGATATCTACAACATAATTTTAACTAGTCATAATATACATTGTAGGTATCTGAAAGTGCATACAGATAGACCTTTGCAAAGCCCCACCTTAAACATCTTATCATGCAATCTTACCTACATATTTAAAATACAACAACCCCCCAAAATGTATAAAAATGGCCTGTAAATATTTTGTGTTTGTTTTGTTAAATAATCCAGTTCCCCAACATTAAAGCATGTTAACCTATTCTAGTACACCCAATAAAGACAGTAATGACCTTTTAAAACTTCATATTGCTTCTTTGATGTTTTAACGCATAAAAAAGTTATATTTAAGTAAAATGTTCTTAACCTCAGATCTTTTATTCTTTTTTTTTTACAAAAATACTGAACAACCAATAATGTCTTAAGAACCAGTCGGTATTTGAAGTTTTATTTACTGTATATTGCTGCTGCCACACAGATCTAAAATAAACATGTGATTTATTTCCCAGCTGTTTACCTTCACAGACATAACCGTCTGTTTTTGTAACTCATTTGTCTTTTTAACGTAAACTTGTGTGTGAATGAGAACTAGTTTAGTACTCACATGCTGTGACAGCCGCTTTCTGTCCACGTGCTTCGGATGTGTGCACTCAGAAAACCGTATATCAGAATTTTAAACTAATATGGTTTAAAATGCATGATTTCAACGTGATAAACATGATAATCAGAACCATAACAGATGTTTTTTAGCAGGTCCGAGCTGTAATGGCGCAGCTCTATTCTGGAAAAGGGGGCGGGGAGCAGCAGCACATTTGCATTTAAAGAGACAGGCACGGAAAACAGCGTGTTTCTGCTTCCACTCAAAATAGGCATTTTCAAAATGTTATAATAAATGATCTGTGGGGTATTTTGAGCTGAAACTTCACAGACACATTCTGGGGACACCTGAGACTTATATTACATCTTGTAAAAAGGGGCATAATATGTCTCCTTTAAAATATTAAGGCAATCAGTGTTTGATAAAATGGTAATTTTCCAATAAAAGATTTTTACGATTAATTACCCCTTAGCAGATTTTGTCTTATTTAGGTGAAAAGTAAAGAATTCTGCCATTAGCACATCTGTGGCTTAATGTTATATATTTAAACTTTTGAATTACTTCGGTGACTACATTTGATTGGATTATTTGTACCATTTTTTACTTAGCATTTAGTATGGTTTAGTACTGGCGTCTAGATGCTCTGCTGTATGTTAAGTGGCCATATAAGTAAATGTTTTGGTATTTTTTTGATAGCATGTCATGCCTGTGAGAAGTTTTGGTGAATGATTGCAGACAAACACAGGGATTAGTAAATGAATTTTATTCTCTCAAAACAAGAAACAATTAAAAATTCATATTGTGTGGCAATTTTCCCCATATCCACAAACTGTGACTCGCTCCTAATTCGACAACCAGTGTCTTGTTGCATTGACCAACACAACGAGAATGAACATTGTCCAGTCCTCTCCGAGTTCAGAGACTGCGTACAGCACCATCCAATGGGATCCGTTTTTATAACATTTTCTTTATAACAATAATAAAATAAAATATACTTGCAACATTTTTTCAAGTCAAACTTGAATAAATATAAATTTTCTTAACTTTTTCCCTCTTGTTTTTTAGATTTCTTTTGTCTGTTTGATTTTCTTTTCCTTTTTTTCTTTTCAAAACGTCAAGAAAAGATGAGTGCCAAGAGGTGGAATGTTGCGTTAAATGTCTGAACCGTCGGCCACAAAACCTTGACCCCGACCTGAATCTGTGGACGACACTAGATCAGGGGACGGCCAAGCCTCTGGTCCACATGCACTGTACACAAAACTGCGAAAAATTCCCAGATGTCTCTATCAAAACATGCTGTATTACTCAGAGGTGTGCTCAATCCATGTTGCAGACCCTTTTCAACATGCTTGCTTTGAATGAATGAGCCATTCTATTGTAACAGAACAGTGGTATCATGACAGACCCATAATCTACAGCTCTGTCTCCACATGAACACAGAATTATGGCTGCATTTGAAGGGAGAAATGTACAATTTTCATGTTCGTTTTTATATCGAAATCAATATTGTACATTTATTGTTTTCCTTGACGATCCCTTGCTTTTTTTCTGTTAATAATATGAGATACAAAGTCTCATCAGGCCACACCTGTAACCGAGATCTGTAAAAATACAGAAAAACATTCTAAAGGATGACAATCACATCGTTATCATTTTGCATTCAGTCCCTTTGAAAATCATGCACTAGAGAATCTCATATTAAAAATAATACAAATTGTTGAAAATGGCTGATCTGGTCATCCTTAAATAAGTTTCTTCCTCTCTTTTTTTTTCTTTTTTTTGCAAGTCTTGAGGAAAATAAACTTCAGATTTTTTTAAACAACTCTGCATCCATGCAAAAAAAAAAAGAAAAAAAAAATAATCTCATAAATTTCATACAGTACATCAACAAAGAGAACATCATACCGGAGCACAAAAAAAAAGTCCATTATTTATTTCATTAATCCCCCCCCGAATCAAACAGGAACTCTGGCCATATCCATTTCCTCATCACCGAACTTTGAAAATCAATCCAGTGGAGATCTGGCTTGATGTAGGGTAATTCCCATGAGAACGCCATGTCTCTGAGGTTACCCTTTCCCTTTCCTGTCCCATCTTAGCCAAGCACTTCTCTCTTTATGGATCTTCTTTTGACAGCTTGGCTTACAGTAATGGCTACAATGCTTCAAGTTCTACTGTAGGTAAGAAACACTGACATCTCTTTGAATACAACAGAGAGGAAGCAGCCAGAGTAAAACGGCGTCTTCCTTTTCCGGTGGAAATCAGCACTCTTAACGTCCTACGGTTAAGAGTCAGACTCCGCCGAATCCTTGGCTGCATCTCTTCAGCTGAACGGAGAGACTTTCTTTCCCTGCGTGTGACAGCAGCATACGTTTTCTTTTCGTTTATTTTTTTTTGGCAGAAGGACACAGGCCTTTTCTTAGCCTCTTGTCGCACGGGCTCAGAGGACACAACATCAAGCATGCAGTGTAATCAGGACGTGACCCGTCTCCTCTCTGTTTGTAGCTGGAGCTACTCACGCCGCTCTCTACCGCTCACCTTCTCATGCCGCTACGACCGAACGTTGGATCTGTCCAGGCTTGAATCTGGAGGTTTACTACTTAAAGGTGCCAAGGTTGGGTCCACTAATGAGGTGGGAGGGAAGAGCTTGTACCAGCCAATCACCATGTTGGTCAGCTCTAAATCGTCTAACAGGATCTGGGCGGCTCCCATGAAGGATTTGTGGTCCATGCGTCCATAGTCCCCCCAAACAATGATCTGTAAAGAAAGACACGATTGGTAAAGAGTTTCAGGAGATGTGGTGCAGTGTTGTTATCGTTAACAAATTAAAACAAAAAAAGTTGAAGTACATATATTGCAAAAGCACATGACAAAATTACTAAAACTAAAAAAAAAAAATATATAGATATATATATATAAACAAAAGCCAAAATATTAATAAATACTATAAAAGTAAATAAATAATGCTAAAATAACTGATGTAGTGAAAACATATCCAAGTCAAATATCACCCACGAATCAAAAGAAATAAGAAATATTTGGCACATTTTCATCACAATTAAGCCTTGCATGAAAAGTACACTTTACTATAATTTTTTTGCATTACATATTGTTCATACTTAAAGTAAGCCAATAGGATGCGGTCCTGGTGTTACCTGTAAAACCTTCCCCTCAGGATTCTCCTCAAACTGAAGTTGCTGTTGATAAAGAGGATCCAGTGTTTTTCTCGCTGTCCGTGTTTTCTTTTTGTTGATGCACTTCCCATTGTCCAGCAGATATACTTTTACATAAGGTGCTGCAAATAATAGACCACAAGGATTTACATATAAACCTCACAAAATAGTCCAGGAACAGAAAAAAATAAATGTGCATTGTGTCATGATGAGACATACCTGGCGTCTGTTTGTTCCCTGGTTTGCCCACCAGGCCTCGAGCCCGAATAACTTCAACATCCAGCCTCTCCTTCCTGTGTACCATACCGATCTGGATGTCACCTGCGGAGAAAGGCCACATCCAAACTCTTAGAGCAGACAAAAGGTCACCTCATAGAAACCATTTGATTAAAGGTATTACAGTGCTATGGACAAAAACGTTACTTTTTGGTAGAGATTTATGTGTTAAGCCCAAAGTATACTTAGTTTTTTACACTTATACTAGTCTATGCGTACAGTGCGAGTAATGTAAATGCGATTGAAAGTATTCGTGCACAGAATTCAGTGCTCCTGCGAAAGGGGTAACTGGGGTAACTGGTTACGTCTCAATGTTGGAAATATTTCTGTTTTAAACCATGAAGGCAAGCCATTGGATATCACACGAGCAACGTGCAAACTTTGTGCAAGAGTTACGTCGGTGAACGTCTTCATGACGGATCTTTCGGCATCTGACGCCGCATATTCTCTCAGAGAGGACAAGAGATGAATCTACTTCAACATATGCTGATTACGGTATAGCTAACTGTTTTAATTTATTCCCTTAATATTTCTCTTGTGGCCCGTAGTGAAAAAACAATAAGAAACGTATTTCGTGTTAAACAGGTTGTTTTTGAAAGTCGGTGCTTGAAATAAAGCTTTTTATTGCATTGATTTTTATTGATGACTGCAGTGTTCATATTTTAATTATAGGCCAATAATTCATTGTAGGCTATAATAGACCTGTTTTAAAAGACTGTTTTAAAACACATTTTAATTGAGGAGTAAATAGCCTAATCTTTTGTTATCCTCGCAGCGCGTCAGTTATGCGGTAATTAGGCTATTGCGGGGCAAATTAATTGTAATTTTAATTTAATAATAAAAGTAAATTAATGATAAAAAGCCTAGTAAAAATAAGAATGTAACAGGCCTACATTAATTGGAAATACCAAATACTCTTTGCCAGTAATTGATGTTTTTGACAGTATCTCTGGCTATCGTCGATAAAAGATCATCGTCTTTCGATGCACCCCAGCAAGGGAAGGTTTTCACGGGGCAGACAGCACGTTGCCTGTTACGTCGTTTGGGCTGCCTTGTTGAGCGCAGTGACACTGAGAACATTATATTTAATTCACACACTTTATGCTCTTTTATTTTCCAAACGTAATAGGATTAGTCCAACGAATCATTCGGTTTGTAATGCATACCAAACCGAAAGCCTCGTACCGAAAGGTTCAATACGAATACGTGTATCGTTACACCCCTAGTGTAAACGTGTTTCTGACCAACTTTTTGCACTTGTTATTTATTATTTTTATTTATTTGTTATTTGTTTACTTGTTATGTTATTTCTAGCGAGAAATCAGTATTATAGTAATTGAATATTGGCTTAGATACCACCAAAGCTCGTTCTATTTTGTTGTAGATCATTAAACCGTTACGCTGCCTCAGAAGCATGTCCGAAATCAGTTTCGTGAAGTGCCTTCGTGCGCAAACGCTGCCTGCAAAGTCACTGCCGGATAACAACAAGCCAGCTGCCTAGGTTTTCGGATGCAGCCCTTGATTAGCTGGTTCAGGTGTGTTTATTAGAGTTAGAGCTAAACTGCAGGAAAGTGGCCCTCCAGGAGTACGTTTGGACACCCCTGGTCTAGACGAAATTCCAACACAAATGGTAACAGGAGATGCATGTAAATGGCATGTTAAAGGTGGGGTAAGCGATTTATCAAAAACGCTTTAGAAAACTGATTCGGCTAGCAAAACAAACTTGTAGCCAATCAGCAGTAAGGGGCATGTCAACTCATGATGTGGAGGAGAGAGCGTTCAGTGTAGGAAAGACATTAGCGAGCCGAGCGACAGAAAGATAGAGATGGCGGATAAAAAAACAAAAGAGGAAAATGTCTGTGGAACAAAAGAAGGCTTAAGGCAAGAAGTAGGACCCATGAAAATATCGGATCAGCTTTCCAGCGCTGGAGAGAACTCAAGGAGCGGAAGGCCTGCGATCGGACGCCGAGGTTGTTTTGTTTCTTCTCGATAGGTGAGTAATACCGTGTCTGCGCCGCAACAGCTAAAGTCTGCCTAGTACACTGGACGCGACAAAGCGACCATTGAAAATCATTCGAAATTTGTGTCAATACGTCATAAATAGAACGCAGCAGCAGTTTTCTGTCGGGGATTTGTCGTGTCATGCCGCGCCGCATGCAGTGTAGACCATAGATATGTATATATATATATCTATATG